GTGATATGAGTAACAAACCGCTAGATCACTTACATATGCATAATGTGCAAGTTTCTTCAATCTACTCTTTGTGTTTCTTAGTAGTGTTTTCTACCATTTTCGATTTTATCTCATGATTTATCCGTGAAATTTATTTGTATATTTAACTTGACATAGTATCAAGTTTTTACACCGTTCCATGAGGAAACTAACGTCAACATAAAATTCCTCGAGACTTTTTAACTGGGTAGCTGGCTTCCATTGCAATGCCGCATATCCCATCTTTATCAGCAGAATCACGCTTCATTTTGATATAACCTGCTTCACCCCAATGAGCGCCCCATGAATTCTTCACAAGCCAGTACTTCTCACCATTTGCTTCGCCATAGCCAACAGCCGCTACGCCATGATTGAGATTTTTCCCACAATACCCAGAGAAGATCCCGCTAGAGTACAGTTGAAAGTCATACCCACTAGCATCAATGGCAACAGAGACTGGTTGTTTTGCCACTGCAGCAAGTAGAGCTTCCTCGCTACCGGCAGGTATAGCTTTATAGCTACTTATTTTTGCTGCCCTTTTTTTTTCTTCGATGGTGTTACATCTGTCATTTTTCCCTTCATATGGATAATCTTTTTCTGTTGTTATGCCACCAATTTTCTCGATGAAAGCAAATGCTTTTTCCATAGATCCACCTTGACAACCTTGGTTATATTTGTTGTAATCACAGTCAATGAGTTCTTGTTCCGACAAAGACACCAATTTGCCAGTCTTGATCTTGTTGATGCCTTCGACTGCTGCTATTGTGGAAAACGCCCAACAACTGCCTGCAATGGGAGATATACACGGTAACTAATATAATATTCAAATCTGAATACACTCTTTGAAGAGAATATATCATGTGATTTCACTGTCATGATTGTTTTGTTCTTATATTTGAATGCTAAAAGTTGAGTTAAAAATAATTGAGATCAAAATATGTCTCGACAGTTTTTACTGTGCAATAACTGTGAAAACAGAGAAGTATGTACCACAATTGCCCTGATTTTTCACAGGAGTCACTGCACCTCTCTTTCTCCAGTCCATGCTTGGTGGTGCTAGAGAATTATCAAATGTAAAATTATATCCTCCCTTGTGCAAAAATCTTGGGCTCTTATAACCCAAGTAGGCAGATCTGAATTCTAGGTTTGTCATATCTGCAAATTCATTGTCTCTCAGTTTGTATGAGAGATTCTGAGAATTTATATATTCAATCAATTGAAGATTGGATTGGTAAATCCCGAAGCGAAAATTCCATTCTTCTCTGCTACCATATCTTCGTCCATGACGTTTCATCCATTGCCTGTACCTCTTCTCCATTGGGTCTGTGACATTATTTTGTTTGTGGGTTTCAGAACATGCATCTGAAGACAGGCAGAGAAAATACAGCAGCACAATAACGAGGTAAAAAAATTGCAATATAGTTAGAGTTTTCATTCTTAAGCTAGAATAAACAAGTCGAATGAGTTTATGATATTCGCATCTTATTGACATAATAATACAAATGCCTGCTCCTTCAGTATGCTAAACTGATTGGTAATTCAGTTGGGTTCATGTTTTTGTTCTTGTCTTCACACTTTCTT